AATAGATTCTCACATTAGCTAATGCTGACTCGGCAAAGCATGGATGCCCGGGTTCCATAGCCTGATTCAAGATTACGCCTACAGGCATTTTTAGGAAGTTTTCCAATAGCAGCACTGACATAATCGAATCACAAGTACCAGTACCTCCGATAATCGTGCTTTATCTTGTGTGTGTGAGGGGGGGGGGGGGCGTCCTTAAGATTCGGCTTCAAGTATCGTCGTTATCTCTGACACCGGCAGATAGAATACGGGGTACATCTCTATTTCTCATGGTTCTTTTGTCGGTCACATTATTCAATACTCTCTACACATATATAGATGGCTTAGTGTTTTCTCTGAATTTAAGTATGAGTGAAGACGTATTTCGATTTGCGGTCTGAAAGATGGTTGGTTGCCAACTGCACAGTAGCGTAGCGAGGGGGGGGGGGGGGGCGGGAGGGGGGACACATGTCCCCGGGCGCCGACCTTAGGGGGCGCCAAAATGGGTTGGAAAAACAAATTGAAAGGTTGAGGGGGGTGCAAATCGAAATCTTGAGGGGGGGGGGGGGGGGGCGTGCAAATCGAAAAGTTTGTCCCCGGGCGCCGGGAAGGGTCGCTACGCCTCTGCAATTGCAGTATTGACTCACTGATTATAGTTGTCTATGAAATAGTAGCCTCACATAATATAGTTGCCTATTGACTAAGGATTCAGATTGTAATTGTCTATAAAAATTGTGGTTTTACGGATTAAAGTTTCCTACTGAAAAACGACGATACATTTTAGTTGCCTAATGAATAATGAAAAGAGATTATGTTGCATATTTATGGCTATTGAATAATGACCACATATTATTGTTGCCTATTGAATAATAACCAGAGATTATAGTTGTCTATTTAATAATGACCGGATTATAGTTGCCTATTGAATAAAGACCACATATTATAGTTGTCTATTGAATAATAACCAGAGATTATAGTTTTCTATTTAATAATGACCGGATTATAGTTGCCTATTGAATAATGACCACATATTATAGCTGCCTATAGAATAATGACCAGAGATTATAGTTGCCCGTGGGTAAACAAATCACACCAGAGATCTTGTCTAGCCTAAGAGAGAGACCGACACGGTTCGAATTGCCGTGCGATATTTGCAGGCCACCGAACACATCTTATCCTTGTATAAATAAGTGAACAACAGAGTGGACAGAGCCGGGGGAGGAAGCCATCAAAACGGCTCAACATCGATTGGTGATGACGTCGGTAGACTACGTCAAACATGGCTGTACTGTTCTATACCTCAAGCCCTACATGCTGAAACATGCCCAGAGCCACCAGTATGAAAATTAAGGCTGTTGCAGTTTAAAATATGACATAGACAGGTCATAAGTGACCAGATAAAATTACCAAAAGCGGATCATTTCAATTAAAACGGGGTGAGGGATTGGCAGGCAGCAAACGTATGTTAAACACAGAAGTCTCTGTATGCTGAAACTGTGTCAACAAGTGATGAAATGTAAGGCTGTTATGTATAGACTATGTATATCTAGAAGATGACAGCGTGGCCAGATAAAGATGTACTCACGCTAAACGCAGTGGAGTTGGGAGATTGTGTAAAATATTGGAACTGAGCTGTATAGCACCATATTGGTAGACTCAGATTTATGGTTAGGTTTATTAAAGCTTCTGTTTGATTTTGATAGGCACATACTTTCATTGTTCACATCCCCCTTCCCTCCCGTTCGTGCAGCTGAAGTAGAGATCAGCTGTTTCAATAACCTCGGTATATGGTCAGCACTTTGCCAGTCACCTGTTTCCTTAACACTAGTCAGGTACCCATCACAGCTGGGTGGACTCATGGACGTCCATCGGTCACGAGCAGTAGCGTAGCGAGGGGGGGCATATGTCCCCGGGCGCCGACCTTAGGGGGCGCCAAAATGGGTTGGAAAAATAAATTGAAAGGTTGATGGGGGTGCATATCGAAAGTTTGAGGGGGGGGGGGGGGGGTGGTTCAAATCGAAAACTTGAGGGGGGGGGGGGTGCAAATCGAAAGTTTGAGGGGGGGGTGTGCAAATCGAAATCTTGAGGGGGGTGCAAATCGAAAAGTTTGTCCCCGGGCGCCGGGAAGGGTCGCTACGCCTCTGGTCACGAGTCCGAACCAAGATCCGAACTCGAGACCTTCGGGATAGCAGCCAAACGCTAGAACTAAATTAGACCTAAAACTGACAACGGTTATGTAACACACTAAAGACTAATTCACCAAACCAAAAAAAATAAATTTAGACCAGAAACTGACAGCTATTATGTAACACACTAAAGGCTAATTCACCAAACCGAAAAACAAAATTAGACCAAAAACGGACAGCTATTATGTAACACACTAAAGGTTAATTCACCAAACCGAAAAAAACAACAGAATTTGACCTGAAAACAACGGCCTAAGGCAAATAAAGACACAGAGGTCGTGACCTTTTCCTCGTGTAAAGAAAAGGTAGTCTGACACAACAGTGCAGCTGTTGCAATACCTTAAGACCCACAACGTGGTAAATATCCACTTCACAGCTTAAATAGTCTCCACACAAAAAAAAAACCCATCCAACTTTTCGGTCTCAACTATATGACCTAGTTACCTACATAGTGTTTCATTTTTTTTTTTAGTTTTTTTTCCCGAGATAAGTAAGTTGCTTACCTCAACTATTTAAGAAAAAAATATCAGCAGAATTGGGTGAAAAGAAAGGGGGGTAAAAGGTTATCACCATTTTGTTGGTCCAAAAATTTAAAACATCATCAGCTAGAAGAGACTGTTAGAGAACTACACCCAGCTAAAGGGTCAAAGTACAACCTTATGTAATTAATGAAGTGAGGTCACATGCTTCATTAAGTAGGTCATTGTCTTTGTTCTGTTAGCTGTCACTGACAGTGATTTATTTTTTCTTTCTCTTTATTTCATTAAGGTGGCTCTTTTTACCCACACAGAAAGCTGCTTTTAATTGATAAATAAATAGGGATAATTTAGTCTGAACAGTATAACTAAATACATATTGTGTTTATAATTTATCCTTTTTATTTGTTTCGTTCAGAATATGTTGGAATGAAATGCTAAAAAGAGAATCTACAAGAATGCTAAAAATGACAATAGATCTATATAGCCTTAATGCAGTGGATGTCAACATAATTATTATTTGAGGCTAATTTCTTTACTTTATACCTCATTTGAATACCTGTAGAGTAAATGCTGTTTCTGGACACAACTGCCTCATTGTGACTTTATTCTATTCTGCCTACCTTATGATCTAACACACAATATACCTAGTAAGTCAGAAATTGTTTGGAAAACACAACACAAAAAAATATTGAAAATGGCAAATAGCAGTACTTTCAATGAAACTCAAGGTTAGCACATATATATATTTTTCCTGATGCTAGGTAAGGGTTCATTAAAAATATTTTTCGTGCAACACCCAAACATAAGTGAAACATTGGTAGTAAGTACTCAAAGTTAAAGCATATATATTTTATATATATATATATATATATATATATATATATATATATATATATATATATATATATATATATATATATATATATATATATATATATATATATATAGGGTAACATTGATATCTCTACACTGGGTGCAGGAAGAAGCTGCTAACCCTCTGTTTGAGGTTGATTAAATGATGCACTTACAAAGTGCAGTATAGACATACCCTGTCATCTATAGAAAGAACAAATGGTTGCTACTACTCTAAAAACCTTGAAACTAATTGTACTCTGGTTACAGAACTCTACGTACAGCTTATATCTATGCCGTCCTCCATTTGTGTACCCATAGCATAGAGATAAACTTTCAGTCTAATATTTCAGTTACAGCCCCTCAACTTAATCGAAGAATCCTCCATTTTATTTCTATAATGGCTGAAGGCACCCAGGCAACATCTACTGCTTTTCTAGCTCAGTACCATATCTCTACATTGAGTAATGAAATATAATAAGTCTTGTATTTTCCTAATCTAGCCTGAGAAGAGGAGAGTAATCTGTCCAAGGAAATTCTGGAGGAGGACAGAAGAAGGTGAAATAAGGTCTGGCAGGTTTACATGGACACAAATAAAGACAGCCAATCAAAACCGACTCCGATGAAGAGATGGGGATGCAGCCCTTTGCTTCTCATGGGCCACAAAGGAACAATTCAAGTCAATCTAGTCTAGAAAAAGTTTCAAAAAGGAAACTTGAATATGGCCTTCTCATGCTTAAATATATCATTTTATCATAGGGCTTATATAATATATTAGGCTAAATCAATGCTGTTAAACTCATGAACTGTAAGCCACTGAGCCATGTCAGGTTGTTAGTAGATAAGAGTGCACAGTACACACTATTAACTTTAACTATATGGTATTGAATCACTATTTACTATTTTTTATAAAATTGAGTATTGGTCCCTATCCATTTAGTTAAAACTAGTTAGATATAGAACACTAAGAACCTAAATAAAAGGCAAATTTTATACGCTAAACGACAAAAAGAAAACGGCAAATAAACTAAGTCTAAGTAACTAAAGTAAGTAGATCTGGCCTAAACTAAATTTAAATTATAAAATTAATTAGGCCTAGGTAAATTCTAAATTAATCCTCAAGTTAAAATAAATAAATTAGGCCCCTAATACTAAAACAACAAATTAGATTTTAGATCTAAGCCCATTCTAAGCTAGATCTACTAGTTGGCTTAATGAATACCTACATAGATCTAGTAATTCTTGATGTTTTTTGGGGGGATTCTAGAATTCTATTACTATCAGCTGATGGGGTAAACAAATGCCTGAAAGTAGGAAAACATTAACAGCTGCCTCTGCAGGAATGCCACTTCTGACGGGAGGCTAAAAATAGCAGTCACTGCACATGCATAGCTGAGCATCAATCTACGTTTGCTTGGAAGAAATTGACACTAAATCCTAAAACTCTACCACATAGAAAAACAACAATAAAAATAACACACATCGGACATAATTTAAAGCTTACCTTTTTCTTAAGAATCTGTCACTAAATGAATCCAACTGGTTTCCACTGTGATGACGTATTGACTAAAAGTACCGATCCAACAAAGTAAACCAGGCAAAGTAGAGCACTGAGATAAATTTGGATAACCTTTGTTTTCGTTTTGAGTTTTCAGCTGTCACGTGACATAATTTATTTATTTTTTAGCTTTTTAATACAAGTTAGAAAAATTAGCAAAGCAAACATATTTTTTTAGAAACAATGTCATTTAAATGTTTAGACAAAAAAATAATTTTATAGTTAAAACAATTTGAAAATTAATAATTTGTTTTTAATTTCATAAATTATTTTATATACATACATTATCGCCCACATCATGTAGGCATCGGTGGTCTAGTGGTAGAATACTCGCCTGCCACGCGGGTGACCCGGGTTCGATTCCCGGTCGATGCAACTTTTTATTTTAAATAATGAATAATTTTTCTTTCTTACCAGATCTATACACTAATCATGTACTTTAGAAGTCCATATTATAATTTTAAAGCAAGAAACGTCCTAGTAATTAACTGAGGCTGACTCGTAATTGATTAATGAGCTCTTACTTTTAAACGTTCAAGGGAAATAAGTCAGTATTATGATATAATGAACACAATTGGAGTTGTCAACCCTGCAATCCTGCAATCGATAGACTTAATTAAATGGTGCCCAGTAAAATAGGCAACGGGAAAATGCGAAAAAAAAAATTAAAAATACGCAGCCAGCCAAAAAGCACAAACAGAAATTTATGCGCACAAAAAGTGCACAATTTGTTGTGCGCATTCTCCCTTTCCTCAATTTTTGTCACCCCTTAAACTTCAGAGATTACGTCATACTCCTAGATTTAGAGGGGATGGGGGTGGAAAGTGGGGGTTAGTAATATTGTAACAATGTGTGAGGAGAACTACTCTGTTGACGAGCTGTTTTTAAATTAATCTTATACTTTCTTATTTTAAGCATCTATTTATAGTGTGTTCGTAGAAATTATTACATTTAATAATTTGTATCGCATATTTTCAATTCCATTAACATTTTGTTAAAACACAAAATGTTTCTGTTATTAATGGTTGGTAATGTACATGTTAACGGTATTGGATAAGTGTAATAATATTGGTAGCGTACTAACTGGGATAATCTGTAAAATGCTGGTATTCAACCGGTAGGAGGGTCTGTGCCGCTTCTCTACCGGGAATATAGTAAAATTAAATGTAATTTTCAGTATGTATTCAACTGTCACGTGCACTAAGTCACGGACAGGGTAAAGTAATAATAAGTTTCAGCAGCTAATGCAGTAGTAGCAATAAGTAAACTTAATAGTGGTAAGCTGAAGGTCTGATGACTACGCTACAATTCAATGTGCGCAGTTTACAGCCTTAAAGTAATACAACCTGGTCCGATGACCTCTTGACTCTGGCAAGGGTTTACGGCCGGTGTATACAACGAACTAATCAGGTCCGATGACTACGGGTCAACTCAATGCCCGCAGTTTACGGCCTGTAGTAAAATAATAACTATAAGTTACTTAAAAAACACAAAGTTACTGCAATAGTACAATTTTATTTATTATACTTTTAAAACTTAAACATACGAATCATACTTATTTATAGGTATTACAAACCATACAGTTATTATAGAATGAATGAAGTAAATAACACAAAACCATGCACGTAGGAGTAGGGCCGACGGCCCAAACGCCGCGTGTGACACCACCAGCTGAGCTCAGTGCTGGAAGAGTGCGAGATTTCTTTGTTGCATCCCCTTATATTCATTAAAACATTGGCGGTGTGTCACGTGGACAATCTAGCCAACTAGAGAGGGGCCTGCGAGGGGGACGAAATATATGGTTGTACGTAGCAGTAGAGAGGGGCGGGGAGTAATAGAGCAGGTAGAGGGTGGTGGAAGAATAAAATAGAGCTAGCCTAACGGTTTTACCGTCACAGTACATACTGTCCATAGTTATAATTCCCCTAGCTCAGTCCAATGATTCATCAAAATCTGCCGCATTTTAAAAAACTCTCAGTATTTTGTTTTTTTTGATGATTGTAAGCCAAGTGTATGGCAGTTCTCACACCACGTTGAGCGGACAAACTTTGTTGCCGGTTAACCATTAACAGGTCTGTAAGGCTAATCGCGCAACAATAAAATAGGCATCAATTTTCATAGCTGGTTGTTTAAAGTAAGATTGATTATGATTGTTTGATTTAGACAAATGTAGAGAACATGATATCTCAATAAGGCTAAGTATTTTTACAAATGAATTTTTAAAAATAATTTGTCATAGATGAAATTGATATTAACTTTAGTGGGTACATCTTTTCAAGGTCTATATAATGGAAGTAAAATACTACATATACAAAGACCTGTCTATTAAGTATAATAGCACGTCCAATCAAGTTGCTGTTTCCAATCTTTAAAAAAAAAATTCTGGTATGTCTAAATAAAATAAGTTAAAATTAAAATTATGTTTCACCGGACTAATAATTGTATATTTTTGTTAGTTAGCTACAATGCTATTATTTGGCAAAAAAAAAAAATTATAGCATTTAGGGCTGTCTACGACTGTCCCAGTGCTTCTTCCAGACTATTTTCTCCGGGGGGGGGGGGGGGCACTTGAAATTTTCGGGGGGGGGGGGGGGGCGGTAGACTTTTTTCGGGGGGGGGGGGGGGGGGGGGTAGGCTGAAATGCCTGGAAGAAACTCTGGATTGTACTCAAGTCACAACTCACACCAGTAGGGTTAATTTGAGTGTTTTATTTTTTTCATACGTTACAAAGCATCGTAAATGTGAAAAAACATAATTTACATCAGTTTGATTTAAACAATTTGAGAATATTTTTCGGATCATAAACCTTGCAGTAGTTTCGCGCCAACGTTCTGAGTTCCTTCAGCGTAGTCATGACGACAGTGAAAAGTTTTCTCTGTTCGGGGCTGAAGGTGGTCACTGATTGGCTGGATGACGTCATGCAAGATGGCTGCTTCCTAAGTTCGTGGAGTAAGCATTGAACAAAACTCGCGTGGAGCTGTTCAACTTCCGGTTTGTTTATTAATGAGATGCAGTCTGACGATGTCAAAGTTACAAGCTAGAGGTTAGAGAAAAATATGAATGTGTATTGTTAGTTTTTTATTTTCTTTCTTTAGTTATTTTTTTTTGTACGATTTATGATTGGATAAAAATAAGAATGAATCTATTCAAATAAGATAGGCTCTTACAAAAAAAAATACTGCTATTTTTAGAATGTTAATATTGATGGTAATATCAGCTGACACTTTTATATATTCATTTTGACGAAAATTTAGGTAGATTTATGCTAACAGGCTAATGCTCTGTTTATAGGACAGTCCATCTATCAATATTTATGATTATTGAGGCAGTGCCCCCGCCCTACCACTGAGGCAAGTTCAGAATTTGTTTCATGCATTTCTTGGGTGCCCTCCCCGTCCTTCCGAAGTATGTCTCACTACCCCCTACCCCCACCCCTCCTTCCACGAACGAAATAAAATTTATTTACAAAATATATACTTAAACCAGTGTACCCTCCTTCCTGACCCCCCCCCCCTCCACACAGGAAATTGTCTGAAACACTGAGCAAGTCTATCCTCCCTCCGCCCCCCCCCCCCCCCCCCCCCGTCTGAACGAAATAGAAAAGATATAGGCAAATATTAAAATTATACTTTAATCGGTGTATGCCCCCCCCCCCCCCCCCCCCAACAAAAGTTTAAGAATTTAGCCATGTGTTGTTTTTGTGTTGCTGTAAACCATGAATTTTGTAATGTAGTTGGAATGATGAACGTTAACCTTCATGAGCATGAGAGCGTTGGTTGAGAGATCCAGTTCCCTGATGGTGTTGAGCAGAGGGTTTACAGTACTGGTGAACTCTTGACCCAGCTCTTCGTGGAACTCGTGGAACTTGTAACTGACTCGGTCAGCTGTTGGATAAAAGAGGAATCAAATATCAACGAAATTCGCAGAGAACGATTTAAAAAAAAATTAACGCTTCATGTTTTATGTTGAAAAGTAAAAAAAAAATTTGTGAAGTGTCCGTCAAGAATAAAAGAATGAAATGTTATCACAATGTACAATATCATATGGCTAAAAATAACTTGTAAAAGATTATACGACAATGTAGGAATCCACTGTTTAAAGCATAAAAAGGTAAGCAGTGTCTACTAAGAAAATGCCCTTAAATAATATATTTATATAAATTGTTTTTTTGTTTGTTCCGTTCTGATCACACTATTTTTTATTTACTCTGAATACAAGCTGTTTACTTGGTTAATCGCTAAAATGAATGTAACTGTATTTCAATGTTTTTGCCCTTTTCACATTTAATGTAACCATTGATCAAACTGATAAACAAGGTAATTAAAAAGTCTAGTGACAATTTTAGCGCAATTTCCTTACGTTATCTAAAAATAGCTCTGTCGAAGCGTAAATCAAGAGCAGGGTTAGTAAAACCATTGGTTAGTTATTAAAACGTTTTTTATTAATTTTTTTTCAGTATTTTACATGTTTTATTTACAATAGAGTTACATGACTAAAAACCATTGCGCGTCTACTGAACATGATGGCGCAGCCATGGAACGCGATGGCGCAGCTATTGAACGTGATGACGTGATGACGCGTGTGGTGTGGTTGGAAAAAATGCCTACTAATTCGGTCAAAATTTTAATTAATTCAAAAAAAAATTTGTGACCGAACGAAAGGATATTTTTGAAAACTTTCTTAGGCAATATTGTTCTAAATTATGGCAGGAATCGATTGGTACATGTTTCAAGTCGCTAAGTGGTCTGGTTGCCGAGATATGGGCCAAAAACTGCTTTTTTTCGAGGTTTTTTGGCTTTTCCGGGAAATCCATGAAAGAAACCTGAATTTTTATGGCCTATGCTCATCCTCGTAACTTGCTTAACATATTTGCTTTTGGAACTAGTCCTCGATATTGCTTCGTTGAGGAGGAGATACGACTTAAAGCTGCGGACACACATTCATACATTCATCCATCCATCCATCCATTCATCCATCCAGAAATGACGGGTTAATAAACGCAATTCTCCAGAATGGAAATTGCGCTAAAAAAATTACCCCAAAATGAATCATTTAAAAAAATTCGGAGCTCTGAAGAAGGAAAAAAAAAGAATGCTACCTTTGAGCTTTGACAAAATCCAAAATTCCATCCAAGACTTTTTAGCCAAAGTCATCCTGTCGTCTGCACACAAGGTCACGTAGCCAGGAATGTGATTCAGCAGACGGATGTAATCTCGAATAAAATTTTCGATTTTTGGAAGTCCTGAGCTTTCCCTGGGTAGTACATCTGGAGCGGAGAGGACCCCTTCGTGATATAAACATGAAACTTCTAGCACTCAAATAATATGGTTTTTACAGAGCATTAAAACGCTGTAGCTCTAGCTTGACAAAATTATCTGTATATTTATAACTAAAAGAAAATTGAACTACAATTTCATTATCAGACAGTACCTTAAAGTTTTGTATAAATCTAGTAAAAACGATGTTACCTGAATGATCAAAGTTTGAGAAGACAGAACTCAGATTTTCTATCATTAGTTCTAGATTCTGAGCATGTTGTGAACTTGTAGCACCGTCGTCCAACTGCTTCGCTTCCAGAGCATCTAGCTCGACTTTTGTATGCGAGTAGCGTCCTGTTTTGATGCGCTCACGTGACATGCCGGCCTTGAGACATTTCTGGAACCGGCACGCGCCGCACGCGCCTCGCTTGGTTCCGGTGACGTCACACGCCCCGTCGTTTGGGCACGATGAGCTCCTTTTCCGCTTGAGGGCGCGTCGGAAAAACTCGTTGCACGCCTCGCAGGAGTTGACGCCGAAGTGGAGACCTGAAGCGGAATTGCCGCAGACGAGACAGGGCGGAAGTTTACGACCACGTGTTTGCTGTTGAAACGTCTGTATATCTACCTCGTTTATGTTGACGTCATTAACCGTTGAATTGAATAACGGTTTCACTACACCAGAAGTCGGAGCTAACTTAAGCTCTTCTGTGTGTTTGAGCTCTGAAGATTCTGTAGATGTGCTGCAGTTTTTAGGAGCAAGACTGAGCAGTAAAGACGTGGCTGAGAATGCGTGTCGATTGGCCGTTGTTGTCTGCTCTACGTCTGCTTCCATTGGTACATCAGAATTTGTACATGATGACGCAGTGGTCACCTGACTCGATTGAACTGTCATGGCGCTTCCCATATCCAAAGTTTCGTTGACTCCATCTATAACTTCGAACTCGATATATTCCGAATCCTCAACACAATCTGTCTCTGTATTTAGTTTAAGTTCAGGGGTATTTAGCGTAAGTTCTTTGTGGGGGTCGGGTTGGAATGAAACGTTCAAAAAACTTTCTGGATTAAAATTATCGTTTTCTTCCTCTATAACAACCACATAATCAAAATACTCAACACTGCCTGTCTCTGTAGTCTGTGTTTGTTCAGGTCTAGTTAGTTCAGTCACGTGATGGGGGTCGTTATGTTGTTCTGGTTGAGCTGAAACATTCGAGAAATTTCTTATACTCAGAGCTTCGTCAACTTCTGCAAAACTTTCAAACTCGACGTATTCAGAACGTTCATCACTGACTGCCTCTGTATCTCCTGTTAGTTCAGGATTATTAGGCATCGGTTCAATACAGTTGTCGTGTTCTGGTTTTGCTGAAGATTTCACTAGACTTTCGTTATCCGAAGTTTCGTTTTCTTCTTCAATAACATCGACAAACTTTTCACCACTGCCAGCCTCTATATCTAGTTCGGAATTGTTAGGCCTCAGCTCGATACCAATGTGTTGCTGTGATTGCGTTAAATTTTTCATTAAACTTTCGGTACCCGAAGTTTCGTATTCTTCTTCAATAACCTCGATATATTCAAGCTCTTCAACACTGCATGCCTTTGAATCTAGTTTTACTTCAGGATTGTTGAGCTTTAGCTCTGTACCGTTGTGGTATTCTGGTTGCGCTGAATTTTTCATAACATTTTCTGTACACAAAGTTTTATTTTCTTCCTCAATAACATCAACAAACTCTTCAACACTGTCTGCTTCTGTGGTCAGATTTTGTGCAGGATTGGTAAGTTCGGTCGTAGGGCGGGGGTCGTATGGGTAATCAAGTACGGCCGGGGTTAGGTCCACCAGGGGTTCTTTGGCTAGGCAGAAGTTGGGCGAGTCTGGGTTGAGGGTCTGTAGTTTTAGGGGTAAGGCTGTGGGGTCCGTCACCGGCATGAAGACCCCGGTCTTCTTGTGGCCCGCCGTAGCAGCAGGTTGGAACATCTCGTCTGTTGGATCCGACAACTCACAACAGGTATCAGAGCTGTCTCTGTTGTCTTTACCGGAGGTGACGTCACATAATAGGAAGTCATCACCCATGAGTACGTCACTTACGAGGTATGAAGACTGTTTAAAATTTGAAGTATTTTCTCCTGGTAGAGCGTTCATTTGGTAGTTATGGTTTTGTGCCGTGTTGGTGTCACTTACCTCTACTTCGTTATTTACGACCGCTGCGTTAAAAGTTTTTGTTTCACCACTTGGTTCACATCGTCCGCATTCGCCGACCTCCAAGACCTCGCCCAGCGTTTCGATGTGTATCAGATCTTGTGAATCTACCGTTGTATCGCCACTTATCATATTCTCAAGGCCACAGTAACTCTCCTCATCCGGGTTTGAGTGTTTGTTTCCTTCAGTCTCAACTGACCCGTCTGTGTTGTGTATGACGTCATCGGACACCTGTCTCACCTGATGTGTATGACTGACCCACGTGACCTGGTGTTTACCCGTGTGACCATCGCTCACACTTTGACCACTGCCGCTTTGAGAACAACTCACGTGGTCGTCTGCTAGAGCCTCGTCTGTTTCCAGCAACATTTTTTTCTTGCGCGGTAAATATTTCTTGCCGCCAGGTGTGCTGGTGGTGGCGGCTAACACCGGAAATGACGAAGGGCGCGAGGGTTTTTCGAGCACGTCAC